TAAATTAATTAGCCCAGACGTTAAGGTTAGATTTGGGCAATTTTAATTTGGGCTGTCCCAATTGGCAATCGGGACAGAATTATTATTTGGAGTACAACATATGCATCAGATGCTTTAAAAATATTGCCAACAACTAAGTTCATTTGATGTGCTATACAAGGTATAAAAACCTTATTAAGATATTCGATTCTTAGTTGTCATCTATAGAAAAAAAGTTCATAATATTCATTAAAAAATAATCCAAATCTATATATAAATATAAGTATATTAATATATATTTAAATATACCTTGCTACCGCATACTCGCTAGCTGAATCTGATACATAGCAGTTAATTCGAATACTTTTCTTTTGTATTATCCATTACACTTTTAATAAAAATTTTTATATTTTTGGTTTTTGACCGTTGATTACTGATATTACATGTGTTTCAAATTAAAGGTACATCCTGAGAGATAATTAAGACAACACCAAAAAAATGCTTCTGCTTTATATTTGTCCAACTATCAAAGGCTACAATTACACTAACCCTATCTGCATATGCATATTCTAACATGTCTTCATTTAATTTCGTTAAAATCTTTAGGAGAATTTGATTACTTATCATCTACTGATTAAATAGTTTTATAGTTGGCATTATAAAATTAAAAAGATCTTTTGTTTCTTAGTTTTCTATAAAAGTAAAAGAAAGACCATTTGATACGATTATATATAAGATCAAGTTCTCAAAATGCTGATTATCCTTTTTAGATAATTGACATATAATACAATTATCAAGAAATGTTTATCTTTTTTTTGAAGTGGAGAAGCTTGCAGATGGAGTAGATTTATTAGATGATAAAACAGATTTATTAGTAGATAAAGAATTGGATATTGATATCTCAGAAATGGTAGTAGAAATATCATCTTCGCAATCAGAAATGTTTTCGTTTGCTATTAACAACAATAATTAATATATTATACAAGCAATTATAAAATAAACTATTTAATATAATTACCTTTACTAGTTTTTTTTTAGCATCTTTAGGTACTGAGCATGCAATAATCTTCAAAACTTCGTTTGCGATATATTGTTCTTTAAAATTTGAACAATTTTGAAGATGACTTTGATATAGTTTTACTTTATTAGAAACAAAGCACTCAGGCTTCGTAATCACCACAGATAAGGTATATTTTTGTATATATGAAAGGCAGACTGCCTTCTTATTTGCTTTTGGATTGTCAGGTGTGACCAAATGAAAAAATTCCTGAAAGTTATGATTTTTCTTACCCATTGTAAAAAAAGTTGAGGGTATTATATATACAAATTTCGTGATACTTTATTTAACAAGATGCGTAAGATGTTTAATATGACAATGTAGCATGAAATTTTTTTTTATTTATGAAAGCCTCTTTTTTTTCTTTTTTTCTTTTTTTTTATTTTTTTTTATTTTTTATTTAATTTTTTTTCTGCTTTTTTTTCTATTTTTCTTCTCTTTTTGCGATGAGTTTTGGATTCTATTGATAGCAAGGCCATTAATATCTTTAATTCTAAATTACAAAATCTGTTATTTTCAATATAAGAACGTAATTATTGCAATCATGCACCTTATATATTTTGTACAATTATGAGCATTAAAAACAATCGCTCAATTATTCATATTATTCATTGTCAATTATCTAATTATTCTATTTCGTACATACATATATGATTTCCCATAATATGGTACATACATGGTTAATGTCATAATGTTTGATTGAAAAAAGACAGCTAGGCTATTATTGACTTTAAGAATTCATGAGACTTTGATAATATATACTACATATTTATACTATGTATATATATACAGAATTTTTCTAATTTTCTATTTTGTCTTCAATTAGTTAAGCCATGATATTCAAAATTGGATTGAGTTTTTATACGTAGTTGCACATTGAAGCTATCTAAATTCAGACTTATTTTATCTTTAATCCATGGCTCAAAACAATAGCTTTAGTTTAAACCTAATTAATTTCAAGTCATGGTTTAAGCTAGCTAATTCAAAGCTAATAGTTAGGATCATAATTCATATATTAAACTCAAAGAGATTCAAATCATTTGATCAAGTTAATTTGTTCAAGTTTTAAAGTTATTTAAGTCTTAAATTTTAAATTACTATTTATAAAGGCTAGCATATTTCATATCTGATTTAATATATGTAATATTCGTATTATATATTTTTAAATTGTATTATACGATCAAATCATAAGAAGCATTACACAGATTTTCATAATCAATAAGATGTCAATTCTATATGTAAAATGACTAATAACTTAAATGATTATGGTTATTTTTAAATAACCATAGTCATTTGGTCATAAGTTATTTGAAAATGACTTAAGATTTGAATAACTGGTCATTTTGAAGTTATTTGGGGTCATCAGAAAAATAGACAAATGACCAAGTCATTTACTATCACTGGCTAGTGGTGCAACAAGGAGATATCTAGGCACCCATTTAAGCAGCTGGATAATGTTGTCAGGTTTCTGTATTAGGTTAACATAGCCTAGTAATAGATTGTAAAATATTTTAAACAATTATGTATATATTCTAAATATATCTAATAAAGAATTACCAGTCTTCCTTGCCAAGTTTTAAAAAAAAAATAAAAATAAAAATAAAATTTTAAGAAAATTAAAGATATTTATAAATAACTAAAATTTAAAGAGTTATAGTTCTATAAGCCATTTTCTCAAAATTTTATTAAGATTATCACTAATTTTGTTCTATGAAACTAGAGCTATTTTTTTTAAAAAAATATTTTTTATTTAATATATAAAATTAATTTATTTAATAAAATTTTAAGAAAATCAAAAATATTTATAAACAACTAAAATTTAAAAAGTTATAGTTCTAGAAGCTATTTTCTCAAAATTTTATTAAGATAATTGCTAATTTTGTTCTATGAAACTAGGGCTATTTTGATTAGAAGAACATTTTTATTTAATATACAAAATCGATTTACTTAATAAATTTTAAAAAATTAAAGATATTTATAAATAGCTAAAATTTAAATAAATTTAAAGAAGTATAGTTTCAAAGACTATTTTCTCAAAATTTTATTAAGACAATCACTAATTTGATTCTATGAAACTAGAGCTATTTTTGATTAAAAAACTATATTTTATTTAATATACAAATCAATTTACTTAATAAAATTTTAAGAAAATTGAAGATATTTATAAATAGAAAATTATAGTTCTAGAGGCTATTATCTCAAAATTTTATTAATACAATCATTAATTTGGTTTTATGAAACTAGAACTATTTTGATTAAAAGAATATTTTTTATTTAATATACAAAATCAATTTACTTAATAAAATTTTAAGAAAATCAAAGATTTTTATAAATAGCCAAAACTTTAATTTGATTTGAAGATTTAA